CTGATGTATTCGGGGGCCATTGGAAGGTCACAGGGAAGCAGGGTTTAAAAATAGCCCTGGGGGGGAGGGGGGAGAGCCTGGTACTGCCCCCCCCGGGGGGGGCTGAAGAAAAGTTGCTGGTTTTGCACCACGCACCGGGTGGCTCCTCGCGGAGCTGCTGCGGGGATGAGGCGCCGGGCTCTGCTCTGTCCCGGGCACTGTCCCCGCCGCGCCGCGCCGCTCGGATTTCCACGCGGGGGGAGTGAGACCGGTCCTAGCCGGAGGAGACTCCGCATGTCACCGCCCCCGGGCGAGCTGCGGCGCAGCCCCCGCGAGAGCCGGTTCCCGTTCGCACCGCAGCCGGCTCCGGCGGGGATGCGGTCCCGGGGCTCTCCCGCCGCCATCCCGCGGGAGGTGCCGGCGCTTGGGGCGGGCTCGGAGCAGCAGGTGGAGTCCGGGGGGAAGGGGGCAGCGGGGTGGGTTTTCCTGGCAGGAGTCGCTGCTTAGTGCCCGCTGTATAGCCCGGCCTCCTGGCTCCCCCTTGGGGGGAAAGTCCAGTCCTCAGCCAGCCCTTGCTTTCCAGCCTGTGCCCAGTGTACAGGGAATGGGCCAACTCCCCGAGCGCTAGGGCAGGGCTAGCACTGCCCTGGCATGGTGCTTTATTTGCCCCCAGGACACTCCTGTTGCAGGTTGAATTCTCCTCCCCCCATGGATCAAAGTGTTTATTTCCACACCCTTTGCCTCCCGCTGCCTAAAAGCCACAGGCAAGGTGTGGGTGACAAACGCAACCCAACAGCCTGGCACCCAGCAAGCTCCAGGGAGACACACAGGCTGGCTTTGCCCTCTCCCTTTGGATGGAGACAAGCCACAGGGACTGGCTCCTTGCCAGTAAATGACCCTGTCGGTCAAACAACAGCCACCTTTCACTACTCCACGGAGAGTCTCTTGTGCATGAACAGATTCTTTTCATATGTCTGAGGTTGGCAGGCAAAGATTCGTGCTCATTCGTTCCTCCGATCATTGCAAAGGCTGGCAAATAGGGGTACTTGGGGAGACGTTGGGAGTCACAGAACTAGTGCTACTTTGAATGAATGATCTGGACTAGCAGAGACGGCCACTCCTCATCTCCCCCCCGGCGGTTTTTAAATATGGCCCCTTTGTGTGGTATTTTCCTAGTGCCTGTGTGTATTTCGACAGAGTTTCTAGCAATGATTTTGTTTCTCAAAAGAGGCAGATGCAAGTTTTCCCCCTAATGAGGCCAGTGCTCCTGATATTGAATATGCAATAGGGGGCATAATCTATTTGTATGAACCAACCTGGGCTATAAATACCGCGCAACACTCCACCCTAAGAGCGGTAAAGATAGGCAGATTCTTATGCTGAGTATCAATAATCTATTAAGTTGACCAGCACATTTTGCTATTGATCTGTGGCAGACTTGGTTAAACGAACAGCTTTATTATTTCACTGTTTACACACTGGCTAAAACGTTAGTTTCGCTCCTGGAGCCCTGACTTCTTCTGTGTGTGGGTGATGGGAAGAGACAGCTCAGATGTGGGCTCAGCTCCCAGCGGAACCACGTTTGGGTGCTTGCATTTGACAGCAGGACCAAGCGGTACGTTATCCTTGGCCATCTCAGAGTGGATTTTGTCAGCACGATCCGAGCCTGGTTATAAAAGATCTCACAACCTTTCCCCTCATGCCCCCCTCCCTGGCTCAGCTCTGCCCCCCAGGATCGCAGGAGCTCCCCCGCACTCCCTCTCTGACTTTTGACGGTTAGTGATGTTTAGATCCAACTTCTGACATGTTGTTTAATCCACAGAAAGCTCATCACTAGCAGGAGACCACAGACTCCAGGGGTTGTTTGCTCCATGTTTGATGCTGGTAGCTCTTAAACAAAACCTGTTTCACACCCCTCTGGTTACCCAACTTAAAGCGTGTCAGAATTCTGAACTCTTTGCAAGAGCTTGGAGCGTCTCTTGTGAAGAGACAGGGCTTGGCTGTTATGGGGGATTCTTTCTGGAGGCTGCTGGACACAGACAGACCCTGTGGTCCCCTCTGGCTCTCTAGCTCCCAGGCTGACTAGCACAATGGAGTGGCACCATTCTGTGCTTGTAAACCTGGCCCAAAGTGCCACTTGAGCACGTGTGTTGCCGCCATGGACCCAAGCACCCAAGTAGTGCGTGCCGTCTCCCTGCTGGATACGTCGACACTCCTCACCAGCTCTCTGCAGCCTCCCGTGATACCTCTGCCATTCCTGCTGGGGCAGATCCCTGCTGCAGGGTGGATCCGTGCCA